ACAGCTGGCCGCAAACAGCGCGGCGCTCCAGCCGGCTGCTTGTGCCTCTCTCGCTGACCTACTCTGTGTAATCTAAACGCTTTGCTCTACTTTCTCCTTTTGTAACCAGCCACTTTGTTCAATTCTACAGAAACAAAACAAAACAAAAAAAAAATCATTGTGAGAAGTCGCGTAGGAGGAGCGAGCGTCAGGCGTGCGTCACCCCCCCCCCCACACACACACACACACACACATACTTATATGAACAAGCGTTCTCGCCCACCACCACCTCGAACGCCGCGCCCTGTGTGCCGCCTAATGCTCGGAGAGTCAGCGCCCACGCGAAGAAACAAGTGACACCTTGCAGAGATGTGCACCCACACATGTACACATCATGCACCGCGGCCTCCTTTCCGCTGTTTCAAGCAATGCTGTCTGTTCACAGAATTGTTGACTCACACAAATGTCGAGTCTGTCTTATGAAGGTCTCTTCATACGAAATTTTCAAGTTACGAAACGCCTCAACAGGAAAATATTGCCTCATGTTACGAACGAAATTTCAAGATACGAAAGGTAAAAATGCAGTATGTGCTGCTACTCGCAGTTCAGATTTTCCTGAAGGCAACATACAGTTGAGTTGTATTCCAGTTTTATGTTACATTCTGGTCAGCTAGCACGTGAGCTAGCCACTAACTCTCACTGAGCTAGCTTGCTCCTGGACTGCTGGACCAGCGGCAGGGCGACCCAATTCGCCGCTGCTAATTTCTGATGGGGCTGTCGCATCTTGTGGCTTCTAGGTGCCAAGCATCTGTCTTCTGTCTTCTGGCGTCTGGCAGAGTGACGTTTAGTGAGACCAAAGCTGTGTCTAATACAAAAATGTTTGCTATCTTGTGTCATTTAGAGGCACTTCTACACCTTTATGTCTGGGCATCAATAACTTGCAGGTTTTTGCAATTTGAGGTGGTGTTTTCACATAATTCTAGTAGTTTTCTTTGTGGTTTCTAAAATATTTGTTTGCCCCCCCCCCCTCATTTAAAAATGGAGAAAATGCCTTGGTGGAGGTCTGTGCTCTACGGCGTGCCCTTTCTCTTGTAGTATGCAGGGTTTTTTGCAGCTGCCAGATGTGTTTTGCATCCTCTCCCTCCTCCCCCCTATGGTTCCTGCATGGGCGCAGGGCCTCTCTATCGGAGCGCCGGGGCTCCAGGAACCGGAGCACAGCAATGCCTCTGTGTTGCCCAGAGAAGCACAGCCTTGTCTGGGTTGCTGCATCTGCGGCCCTAGAGGGCAAGCTGGGGGAAGAGGGCGAACTCAGGGATGCGCCTGGAGTGTGCTGGCCTTAGATGTCCTGCATTTCTACTTTATCTTGGTCTGAGCCTTGTCATTCCGTAAATGTGGTATGACAACCATAAATGCCTGGGGGGGAAAAAATTGAAAGGGGAAGTCAAGTCAAAAATGTTATTTATAATATGCGCCCCTGTAGTCTAAACACAGCATTCTGACTCATAGTTTGTGGAATGTGAATTCAGCAGCAACATCTACCCGCTTTTATTCATCTCAAGGGGCGGCCATTTTGCCACTTGCTGTCGACTGAAAATGACATCACAGTTGCTCAGGGCTCAGGGAATGACCAATCGTGGCTGACCTGTTTTCTGAGTTTGGTCATGTGACGTCTTGGAAGCTGAGCCATGATCATGGTCCCTTTATGTTGTCATTGCCATTCAATCTTCAAAGAGCCAATAGATTTCCTCCTACTCGAATGACCTAGCTTCATCGTTTTAATGCAATTTGACCCCTGACAGGGAAAAGCTTAATGTCACTTCTTATTTCGGATGTATGTCAAAGGAGTATAATGCTATTTTAGTCTGTGACTACGACATCATACCTGTAAAAGGTTAAGTGAGCTACGGTTAAACCCATTGAAAATGAGGACCGTCACTACCTGTTGATGGCGCTTACTGCCAATTGCAGCCAATTCTGGAACGACCCGAACTGAAACAGCTACTCTAGAAAGGGCATTTTGAGAGGAGGGGGACGCTATTTTCTGTCTGTTGGTCCCGGGTCCATTAAATCGAGGTTCCACTGTATCATAAGCTCGTTCTTTCTCCCCAGAGGGAACACGAATGGGTTAAGGGCGGCTGTGGAGGAGGGCAGCACGTGGCCGTGGGGCCCAGTTGGCTTGCTCACTGGGCTGCCAGCTTATTGGCTCACTTCCCGCACTGTGCACCTGGTCGCCAGTGTGCGTCCGCCCGTGCTAGACGACACTGGCAGCGCGTGACACGCACATATGCACAGGAAGTGCAGAAATAAGTGCAGCGAGTCATTGTCACAATTGCCACTGAGCAATAGGTGGGGGGCTCGGGACATGGAGGATATGGGCTTCAGTGGTGATTAGGAGGGCAGCGTTTGGCATCCATAAAGAGTAAATAAAGAAATCACATTTGGTCACACTTGGTTTTCAAGGAACAGTATTTTCCCAAGTCTGCGTTGCGTTTGTGTGTGTTGTTTGTGTTTGGGACTGCGTTGCTCTCCCTGTCCATATTCTGGGACTGCTCAGAAGGTCGCATCGTAAACGTGACTGTTACACATTTCATGTTGCAACAAAAGGCCATCCAAACGGTGTGATTTAACAGAAAAAAATGCTGTATTGAGCTTGGAAGCCTGAGAATTGCTCTCCACGAATTCTATCCAACAGCAAGGGCCCTCCAAATAATGTCAGCAGGGGAAAAATTTTTTTATCAGGCTTTGGGGCACGAATTCTACCTAGAGACAAGCGATCATGCAAATGAGGACAAAGAACTTGTGAGATGCAGTTTGAGAATTTAGAATTTTAGTATTACAATGACTTTATAACACACGTCTGTCAACTTTTCTGTCCCTTTTTTGTTGTGTGGGGTAGTCCGTCCCTCTGTCCTTAGTTGCAGTGGACAAATAAATGTGCTGCAGAGTGTCTACCGAGGAACGAGGACCCGCCAAATATGACACAATCAGGATTTTTGTATAAATCGGCGATTGGGGCACACTGTGCCCCACAAATTTTGCTAAGCAGCGTAACACGTAACATAACACACTTCGTCCGCACCTCCCTGTCCTTTTTCCACTGTATGCGGCAGTAGTACATTGCTCTGCCCAAACTCATCATGGGAATACCATAGTGAGCGTAACTAGAGTGTGACATTTTTTTTTCCACTGGGCTTTGGGGCACAAATGATTGCGCCCCATGAATTCTACCTAGCAACAAAAGGACATCCAAGCATGTGATTTCGCAGAAACATGTATGGTGCTTGAGGCAGTACGAATTGCTCATCATTAATTCTGCCTAGCAACAAAAAGAAACTCTCCAAACATCACGTGTGCAGAGAAAACGACCATGAAAGGAAATCAAATTCTGCGAATTTATTTTGCTTTTGTTTTTTGGGGCGGGGGGGTTTCTGGGTGTGAGGTTTTAAAGTCACAAATATCTCCAGGCTTGTCATGTGTCAGCGCGCAAATTATTGTGTCAAATTTATTGTTGGTTGAATTTTCACACCGTCATCAAAACACTCGTCACTCACTCCTTAAAATGTTTAGTTTACTTTTTTTTTTTTACTTGAGCTTTTACCAAAGTTACTTTGTTTTATGAAAGTTGTACTTTTACTCAAGTACTGCTTGCTGATGCAAGGCTGTGTACCTCACATTTAAAAGATTACCTATCCTTCATGTCATTTCCAGTTGGTCGAGTGAATGGCCTCTAGGTATGAATTGTATGTATTTCTCCTTCCTATCGTGCCTTTATCTGCGCCGTCCATCTGCATCTGTTGGCACGCAAGCCACGCCTCGCCACGATTGCCAGTAAGCCCTCCGTTGCAACACGACGCAACACAGGAAAAGTGTCGTTGCGCAACGTTCGGTTTTCTCAGGTGCCACTCTCATGACACACGTGTACACAAAGAGGACGTGCGTAGATATCGTGTTTTCACAAGCACGCCTCTACCTTTTCTATCCGCAACAGATCTGAACCTGATACTGACCCAGGGCATGTTCCTCTTCATACCAGTGAAGTGAGCCTCAGGATCGTTGTGGAGGATGACAGATCGAAGTGAAAGATGATGATGATGATGATGAAAATGATGCAAGCAGCTGCTCTTGAACACCCACACTCTTCCTGCTGCACCCCGTGTGTGTGTGTGTTGTACATGCAAAGTGAAAATATATAAATTTCATTTTTTTTTCTGAATTTATCTTTGATTGTGTTAAAATAAAATATAAGTTCAGCATTCAGTGTTGGAAGCCGACAAACATCAGACATCAGCCAGCTGCTGATTTTCCACAAGAGCCGTTGACAGTTCGTTTGAAGTGCATGAGGTGTTCGTAAAGTTCGCGTCCTCCAAAACCACCGACATATTCAACGTCACGTGGTGACTTGGACAGATGGCGCACCGGCTGCTCAAGGCTCCTTCAACAAAGCTGAGTGAACCGCCCCCATACCAGTACTACACTGCATCATACAGGTGGGTCAGTGAGCCGGGCCTATCAATTTGGGGACTTTGAAATAACATGCAGCATAAAGTTAATGTTATTTTAAAATCTTTGAATTAGTTGATTGTTGTGGAAAAACAATACCCAAAAGCTCTTACACTTGGTTTGCTATTCACGAGTTTTGTGCCACCGTTGAATGTAAGTTTTTATGTGTGAGCCCTTTCCACTGACAAAAAAAAAAAAAAAATCACAGTATGTGGTTATTTTTTGTTTGCCTCATATCCTTTATTGTTGAAGACTGGATTTTTTTTTTTTTAATACATGAACATGAAGCATTATGAGTGCAACGTAATTTGAGTAAATGTTAAAAATGTACATATTGTGGTCTGGTTTAAAAATGGCAATTTTTTGTCATTCATCTGGTTAGGAAGAGTGCACTCCTGTGTTGCCCCTTGGTCGCGCTGGCGAAAAATGATGGCTCCTTCCGTCATTTAAGTTGCCCATCTGGGATCTACCAGTGCACCTTTGTGTGATGATGACCATGGAACTGGAAATGTGAGTTATTGCGAGTCAAAAAATCAACCTAAGCAATGATTTCATCCATGTGCCCGTCTGTGTGTTTGTCTGTTCGAAGCAACTGTAAAATTATGCACACTTTGAACATTGTGTGATTCGGTGTGTACCACTAGACGGAGCACACTTTGAGATTCACTGAAAATCACAAAAGAAGAATGTAATGCACGCTGTCTTGATGCTTCCAACCCTTTGCCCGTTTGATAGCACACATAGAACTTCTTTTATGTCTTACATAAACTATTAATATGTGTCTATTCCGTGATAAGTTCTGCAAGGCTTCTCCTGTCTGGTTTGAATTTTTTGAGCACGTTTTTAGAAACTAAAACCACCTCAAAAAACATCCGGTGGAAACTCTGGCCTGACACATTCAAGTCTGTTGGTGGAAAACTTGAGGTGACAATGTGGCCATCCTTGCGGTGTCAGCAGGTTGCACATTTCTATTTGTGTGAACCGTGTACTTGCACTGTTACCGTATTCCGATTTCATTTCATCCGGTTGAGGAATCCATTAAGCACTTTTAAAATTGCAGTTTCAAAAGTCCAGTCACCCACTGTTTTGTCTATTGTGGCATTTCAAGAAAAAAAAAAATTAAAAAATGTAATTGTCTTCGTTTTACGTCAAGTTTGACAGTTAGCTGAGACTGGCATAAAACAGGTTGCCGCTTCTTTTTTGAACAATACCCAATAATTATCTGCTGAACTGCTGCTTGTTGTGAAAGGAATCGAGTCAGCTGCCGCCATCCAGCATGCATAACTCAAGTTCATGCAAATTTGGTTACTGTGTTGAAAAGTGTTAATTTCATTAAAAAACAAATTGCCCAAAAAAATGTTCCTGGGGTTTTTGGGGGGAGGCTGGAATGGATTAATGGCGTTTCCGTCCATTTCAATGGGGGGGTGATGTGGTCATTTTACGCCACACGTCTTTCATCAGGACACATGAGGCCATGCCCACTTTGGTTCTTTTGATGACTTTGATGGATGACACCAAAGTGTTTTCTTCTTGACTCCTTTGCGTCATTTGAAAGCAGAATTTAGAGGAGCCGGTGTTGTTCATTCACGAAGTGTGGCGATCATGACGCATCGTCATCATCAATGTGGTGTTTTCTCCTGGGCAGTGATCCATGACTCCTTCTTTTGTCTCCTGCGCCTGCTGCTATTGATGGGGCTGCTGCGGTCAGGACAGTGTCGCCCGGCCCATGACGACGTCTTCTGCAAGGCGCTCAAGTCGGCTGTCCATCAAATAGACGCCATCAGGGAGACCGCGGAGCAACTCCAACTCGTGGTCACGACAATACTACCACTACTTCTTGTCCTTCTTCCTTCATCCTGCCCCTCAATATATACTCAATCTTGCGCCTCATTTGCCTTCCTCCTCTTCTGCTTCCTCATCCCGCTTGCTGTTCCCATGAAAAGCTCCCAATTGAAACTTGGCCATTTGCATTTCAGCGCGACGAAGGGCTTGTGGAGGACTTGTTGGATGTCAGACTACAAAGTCTTCCTGTCATATCGATCACTGCTTCTCGCTTCCAAACATGGAAGGTAAACAATTTCAGCCTTGCCAGACACATCAAACATACACAAGTGCAGTCAGTACATTTTTTTTGTAGTATTCCCACAAGACACATTTACAGTGGTGGGACTTGTGGGATTTTTCCAGCACGTTAAACCGCCACTATCATGTCACAATTGTAGAAACCGACCAATGCAATGGGGGCTGCACCACTAACGTGGCAGGTTTGTTTGTCCTTGCAGGCCAACAAATATCTGTCTCAGCTGTACATGCACACTCTGGCCTTAAGAATGCATGTGGAGTGGCTCAAGGCAGCCACAGAAAGTGTCAGCTTGCCCTCCGAGGCTGCGGGGGCCGCCGGTGTTCACCTGCTGCAACTGGCCAGCCTCATCAGGACGGCCCTGATTCAGGTGAGGTGTGAGGACCGACTGTCGCCACCTAGAGGACAACATCGGACACCAGCGAGTCCCCTTCAAAAGTATTAAAACGGCAAAGTCAATTAGGTTGTTTTTGATGTTTGCAGGGACATGGAATTCTTGACAAACAATAGAAAGGTTGGCAGTTAATATCGGGGCACATGTGGACAATTCATGGAGCGGTCACCAGTCAGGACTCTCACAGAAAGCGCACCTGTCCTCAGCATTAAAAACTGGTGCATCCTGATTTTTGTTGCCCGTGCAAGTCCAGTTAAGCATGTTTGTGAATTTTCTTTTTACACGCCCGCGGCGCGCCTGACAATTTGGTAACTGAAAGTAGACTAGACCTTAGACCGGCTGGGAGCAGGTCTAACTTGTAGTGCAGGTGGTGTAATGCAATTTTGGTGGATTTGATCGAGGTGCAGACAGACAGATCATTCAGCCATGGAGGTCTGCCTTTAGTTCCTTTCAAACATGCTCTGTGCGCTTTGATGTTCTGCCCGCACTCCGAGTCTAGTTTTGCTTCCACAATGTCATAAACTCTGCGCCTCTCCTGCAATGAATTTAAAGGGAATGAGAGGAGCCGCTTCAATTGGCAGGGAATCAAGTCCGATGTGTTCACACCCACAACAGTGCAACGCCCCCTTTTTTTTTTTTATCCGCCACGCTATGCCCCCCTTGCATGCCCCTGTGAAAATACCAAACCATCGCCTACCTTAGCTCCCCCCAGCTTACGGCAAAGTCAATTAGGTTGTTTTTGATGTTTGCAGGGACATGGAATTCTTGACAAACAATAGAAAGGTTGGCAGTTAATATCGGGGCACATGTGGACAATTCATGGAGCGGTCACCAGTCAGGACTCTCACAGAAAGCGCACCTGTCCTCAGCATTAAAAACTGGTGCATCCTGATTTTTGTTGCCCGTGCAAGTCCAGTTAAGCATGTTTGTGAATTTTCTTTTTACACGCCCGCGGCGCGCCTGACAATTTGGTAACTGAAAGTAGACTAGACCTTAGACCGGCTGGGAGCAGGTCTAACTTGTGGTGCAGGTGGTGTAATGCAATTTTGGTGGATTTGATCGAGGTGCAGACAGACAGATCATTCAGCCATGGAGGTCTGCCTTTAGTTCCTTTCAAACATGCTCTGTGCGCTGTTCTGCCCGCACTCCGAGTCTAGTTTTGCTTCCACAATGTCATAAACTCTGCGCCTCTCCTGCAATGAATTTAAAGGGAATGAGAGGAGCCGCTTCCATTGGCCGGGAAGAAAAACTGGCTGCGTTCACTCCCACAACGGCGCAAACGTCACCCATGCACACAGTTAGACTGCGCTCGGCGCCAAACTTGCACCGGGCATGAAAATGTCAAACACAGATTGACAAACGCTGGACTGGTCACTAGTCATTGCATATGCAGATGAATGCGGCGCCAAACTTGCACTGGGCATGAAAATGGGCCCCTCAGTGTCAAACACAGATTGACAAATACTGGACTGGTCACTAGTCATTGCATATGCAGATGAAAAAAGAGACTCGTCATCAGTCCCTGTCAGGGCACAGAGGGACAAACAAGCATGCCCCCTCACATTCCCACTTTTTTGAGGCTTTGCTGAAGCTAGCATGCTAGCGTGCTTTTAGAATGCGGGAGGAGAGGACAGCCTGAGTCCAGATGGGAACCATCGACCTCAGGCTTGAGCCATGCCACTTGGTCACTGTGCAGCCACAACACACATCTTCATTCATCGTTTCAAAGTTCCCCTTACTGTTTGCAGCCAGTCAGCTCCTGGTTTTTGTTTTCTTGTGTACTGACACGACATCCCCGCTTTGTGGGTTTCAGATTGACGCGGTTGCCCTTCCGCCGCCGCGTTCGTCACTTCCCACGGTCTCCTCTGCGTTTGACGTTCTCCGCTACTCCGTGGAGATGTCTCGCAGCTTGAAGGTGTTCTGCCACTGGTCCAAACGGCTCGTACGCCATCTGCACATAAAGGCGCTCTGTCCTCCATCCAGAAGTCTGTGAAGAAGATGAGCGTCATATCTCATCATTCATTCATTCATTCATTCAAACTCTACTTTTTGTTGAGTTGCAAATGTACAACTATTTCCCACCTGGACCAGGTCGGACAGTTGAGGTACTGAACCCCACTCGTTTCATACATCCATTCACCAAAACAATATTCTATATTATAATTTTTAATTTTATGCAATATTAACCCATTTAAAGTCATGAAAATAGCTTGAGAGCAAATCTATTGGCACTCTTGAAAGGTCAAACTATAGCTATATAATGAAGCTCAGTCCATTTTTTTGGGCACCATTTTCGAATGTAAAGTGTACCTTGGCTAGATAAAGGTTGAGAAACACTCAAGTTTACTTTACCACAAACACATTTACCGCTTCGCTACTGTTGGGGGCGCCCTTGAGTGAACAAACCTAACAATTCGTGAGTGCTGCTTTAAACTAGATTATTGCACATCCTCTGTCACGGTGCTGCAAGAAGACGGCTGGGCCTGTGGTGAGCCACAGACCAAAATAACCGGTACACCCCCCCCCCCACACACACACACACACAGACTCACACTCCTCTTGATAAGAGCACATGTGCATCCACCCACACATCATGTCACACTTGCACACAGTGAGACTTGTTTATGTGACAATCCCTACAAGAGAGGTTGCTGAAACTGGACATTTGATGTCATCACATTCAGTCAAAGGCGACTTTGCAAATTAAAAAAATAACATGTTCATATTTGTTTTAAAACTGTCAGTATGACCTGATAGTAGTGCATGAGTAAAATGATCCGTGGGAAAGAAAAGAATCTGCCCTCTCTGACCCCAGTTTGTGCTTCTCATTGGCTTTGCAATAAACCATCGCGCCCAAGGTAAAACAACCAATCCAAGACAGAAGGCGTCATTTACAAGGTGTCAAATCTTTTTGGGGGGGGTTGTAGGAGAGATTAAAATATGTACCTTCCATTTTCAAAGCACATCGTATGTTTCAGATCAAACGTTGTTAATTGCCTGTCATTCAAGCGATGATTAATCAGGGAACAGGGAAAGTGTAATTTTATAGGTATTTGTTTTGGAGATACAGATCTCACGCCTGTGTCAAGGCACCTTCTAACCTCTTTGTGACTTCTGTTCCGTATGTTTAGTTTGTATGATCTCCTTCCACTTTTTCAAGAGTCCCACTTTGACCATTTGCAAAGTTTCTGCAGCAACCTGTGTAAATGTCGCGGAACCACAGACAGTTCTCGGGACTGTTTCAAACTCCCCTGCATGGACTGTCCCAACTGTGCAAAAAAATAAAAAATACTCCATGTACTGTTTTAAGATTACTGCATGACAAGTGGACAGGTTCTGTAGGAACCTGTGAAAATGTGGTGATTCCATAGACAGTTCCGATGCCCCAGAGGAAAAGTTCAGTTTGATAGGTTTCAAGATTCCTGCCATTGCCACTGCCAATTTGAAATGGTAGTAGACACAGGCCAAATTTGAACCTGAACAGCATCAGTGGTCACATTGACATTTAATAATTTGACATCATTTGAATTTGAATCTATTTTAGGTCACTTGACGAAAAGTCACCAAATTTCAGGATGACATCATGACATTCTGGGGTCTGTCAAATGACAGAATCCGACAAATTTGACCCGAGCAGTGTGTAAGGATGAAGAGTCATTTGAAAGTGTGATAATTTAGCGCAAATTCATTCATCTGCCTTTTCGCAAGCTCTGTCACTTTCGCCCGATGTCTCAATGTCGTCTTTTCTCGCTGACAAGCTGGCATAGTGGCATCATTCTAAAACTGGTATTAGGCATTTCCTGCTGCGTCCGTTAGTGTGTGTGTGTGTGTGTGTGTGTGTGTGTGTGTGTGTGTGTGTGTGTGTGTGTGTGTGTGTGTGTGTGTGTGTGTGTTAGGGGGCGGGGGCGGGCGGAACGCACCTGGTCGGCGCAGCTGTGGGGATCCTAGCAGGGGGGAGAGCGAGCTAGAGGAAGCAGAGGAAGAGCGAGAGAGCGGGATGGGAGGGAACCAAAAGGAGGCCCTGTGTGCTGGAGTGCCGGGCGACCCGCTTGGGTTCAAACGCACCCAGAAATAGGGAAGAAATAACTCGGGCACAGATTTGGGACATTGTTATCGATAAACAATAGACATATGTGAGTGAATGACGCTTCCTTTTTGGTTTTATAGTTTATCGAGTGCCTAGTCATAATCAGTGATGAGGTTTCAAAGAGAAACGCGTTTTATGGTTGGAAGGTCACTTGCAACAGTTGTTGTGGGTGTAGTTCGGCCGCTCTCCTGTAGAGGGCGCAAGGAATCAGGTTTGAATTTGGGAAAACACAGGTGACGCTCGTCACAAAGCAAAAATGATTGTTTTTAATGACGGTATGTTATGTTGCCAGAAAAATTATAGGATGAAGTTGAGGGATGAGGGGTGGATAAAACTTTACTTTTGTTGTTGCGACTTTCTCCTGCAAGAAGGAGTTTGATTTTCCTCCCCAAAAAGTTGAGACAGGAAATATCAACAGATTGGGTTGGACTTTGTTGGGTCCACTGTGTTGCAGTGACCACGTGATTCGTGATTATTCCTATTAGAGGCAAGATAAGAGGCGACAAACACGCGTGGTGGCTGACTTTTGTCAGTCAAAGTGCACGCTGTTTCTCCAGGATGTATTGCAGATGCACACACACACAGCCTGGTCCACAGCTGGATGAGCAAGGAGGAGTGAGCTGTGAGGTCAGGCGACCAGGTCAGAGGTGACGCTACAGAGAAGTGTGATAGAGGAAAGAGGAACACAAAGGAGTGCACCCCCCCCCCCACACACACACACACACACACACACCAAGGCAGACAGTTAATGAGTGATCAAAACTGCGTCTGCATCCTGGCTCTTTATCAACATGTCATCCAGGTCAAAAGTCATTAGATCAGACACATGATCAAAATTCCATTCACTTTCATTCAAACTACAAAGTTGTAATGCTTGCTCGCTTTAGGG